TATATATATGTATATATATATATGTATATATATATATATATATATATATGTATATGTATGCATGTATATGTGTACATATATATTACATATATGTACCTATACATATACATTTATACATATACGGATATGTATATATTGTTAGACCCTAGGGGGTGATTAGGGTCTTATGCTAATCTAATCTGATTGTATACCAATTAAAACTAATTCAAATATTATTCTTACAAGATAGATATACAATATGATATGAGCAAGAATATGCAATATGAATAAAGAGAAATATCCTAGCAATGAGATATACTATGAGATATATGCGAGGATATACAAATAACACAAGGATAAACAATCTAAACTAGATAGTGGGCAATATAAGCAACAAGCAATATACAAAGACGATATAAGATATGAACATAAAAATAAGTGCGCCAATGCAATCGCAAACAAACGATATGTTCACGGAGTTCGGTCCCCACAACCTACGTTTTCGCTCCTCACCTCGAGGAGATCTCTACTGTCACAACCGAGTTTTCTACGCTCACCCGAATAACGTTTACACCACACAATATCGGTTTTCAACGCTCACCGATCAACGTTCACAATCTCACAATGTAACTACACTCACACCCTCTAAGTGTTGGTCTCTAACCCGTGTTCTTTCTCAAGTGCTCGGAATTACCACCTCTCTAGGCTTTACTACCGACCCCACTCCTCTTGGAAGCGACCCCGTCTCTCACCACACACTCCTCTCGGTGTACTAGTGTAATACAAAGTGAATCTCACAATAAGCACAATATAACAAATGATTGTTCTCTAATATGAATGAGAACACAATGTAAGCTAACACTTAATGATACACCTCCACAACCCAAATTATACTATGAATGTAAATACAATAAGCTCAATAGGTTGTGTGTGTAAATAATGAATAAATCAAAACTAAACTCAATTATGAAAAACTAGCTTGTAGAAATGATAATTAATAAACAATCATAAATGAAAGCTAGAATTGAGTTTAGAAAAACTTCTCTAGATGACAAGGGGGAGAGATGAATTGAAGTTCAACCACCAATGAATTGATCTCCACTTCCTCTTGTGAAAGTCTCTTCACAAACCAAACTTGAAACAAAACTAAACGAAACTTAAACCCTTGTTAAACTTTCTTAAAACATTCTCTTGAGTGCCTCAGAAGTTATGAGGCATGGGGTATATATAGGATCTCAAGGGGAACCCCAAAAACCAAGAAACCAAGGCCAAAAGACCAAAAACCTGAAAACAGTACAGTCTGGAAATATAACCGTTACAGTGTTATGAGTGGACTCAGTGCTGTTCATGAGTCGACTCATAAGTAGCCGTTACCATGGTTTTAAATATCGGCTGATAATCCGATATTATCACCGAGTTATCGGATTTGGGAGCTTTTCGCTAGGATAAGTAGGATTTTTAATCGGTTATTATTTTTTGAGGTTTATCGGCGATAAAGGTACTTATCGGCCGATAAGTAGGCTCTAAATATCGGCTTTATCGGCCAATAAGTAGGATTTGGGAGCTTTTACTTTCTTTTGGATTTGCTCTTTGAATGTTTACAAATTATGAACAATTTATTGTTTTTGGAACTTGGTTGATTGGTGATTAGCTTATGTTTGTTTATGAATATTGATAATGGCTCATAACTACTAAATATCAACTTAGTAAGTTTAAGAATCTCATGATTAAACAATAATTATGTAGATGCATAGATGGTTCTTCATTCTTGATGTTATCTTATTATTTGTTTGTTTATTATTCCATTTTGACTAACATTATATTTTTTTTCAAGCTTATATTTGTTTATTATTTGCTAGTATATTACTCCGATAAATACTACTTATCACCGATATATCCTCGATTTCCTCTATCCGATAAGGATTTTGACCGTCCGATAAATTCCCGATAAGCGACATTTAAAACATTGGTCGTTACAAGTTAAAAACCAACTTATAGGTCGACTTGTAAAAATCATGAGTCGACTCATCACGCATGGGTCGACTCATGAAGTCATGGGTCGACTCATCAAAAACAAAACACACTTTTCAGCACAGTTTATGAGTCGACTTATGACAGGCATGATCGACTCAACCTGTTTGAGTTGACTCATGATGTTATGAGTTGACTCATCAAAAACAAAACGTAAACTATACAACAGTTTATAAGTCGACTCAACACTGTTCATGAGTCGACTCAAGACATGCACACAGCCTGTTTTAAACAGTACATATCAACTTAAAACAGGGTTTAAAAATATCAAATAAATTCTAAAAACTGTAAAACTTTGGAGAATGCTTGTAAACATGAAAATGAACATGTTACAAAAACTGGTTTTCAAAAAGCATTCCCCATTTGTGAAAACTCGTTTTTTAAAATAGTCCAAAACATGAAAATACAAAACACATGTTTTTGATATTTTAGCTAAACCATGTTTTGAAACTTCTTGTATGGCTTTATAGACTTGGTAAAAGGTATAAACTATAGTTATTAAGTCTATAAACCAAAAATATAATATTTTTCCAAATACAATAGAATATGAAACACATAAATGTGAAAATGAAGATATATATTGTTTCATATTGCTAAACCAAAATAACTTATCCACATATAAAACAAATAAGTATTATATATCTATTTGTTTGCAAAAACTTTTGTGGATAAAACACATAAACCATTAAATTGTGTGTGTATAATATTGAGCTTAAGATATCACATAAACCATTAAATTGTGTGTGTATAATATTGAGCTTAAGATATTAACACACAAGTATAAACCTATGCTATAAACCTATACTATAAATACCCAAGCTATGATCTTGATCTTCAATAAGCTCTTCTTGGTAAACTTGCGGAT